AATTCATCAGTCTGTCAAAGTGTCTTGCCTGGTTTTGCTCACTCTAGACATCAAGTCATTGCATTGCATAGCTAGGTAGGTAACAACTCAGGAATCACAAGTGATAATTCCCAAAAGGTTTCTCAACGTGGGATTCTATGAAGATGACATAGAATTACTGAGAACGACTAAACCCCTTTCAGTAATGAGAATTTGATTTCATTTACTTCACATGTGTGTATATAATAAACTGCAGTATAAAAAAAGAAATATGCTTCTGGAATCAATCTCCAGTTCTGCCTCACTGTAGAACCGGTGATAATCTTTAACCAGAGCAATTAAGAGCATACTCTGATCCAGTCTGGATTCTCAGACTTCGAGAGCTATGCATTGCCCTTGCCCTACATTTTCTCACATATGCTGGGATGGTCTAGTCAGTTCTTGAGAATAACAAAGCAATGCTGCAGGCCCTTGCCTGAGAGCTCTGTGCCTGGGGTAAAGAGCATAAAAAGCGTCTTATTTAAGTGGAGATTCATAAAAATGTAGGTGAAACAAAAGGGAGAGGGAAGATGCCAGGTTCCCATGGGACACCCAGGAGTCTCCAGGCCTGCATCCCTCTGACCTTGAACTTGGTTCTCTCACTCCATTCATTCTGCCCCAAGAGCAGTAGGGGGAGTCACAAGTGACAAGAAAGGGGGCTTACATTTTTGCAGTATCTTTTTATCTTGTTCCTGCCAAATACTGCTGTGGAATCTGTCTTCCTTGTGCAAAGGCAGCACTCTTCTTCAAGCTATAGCAATGGGGATATTTAAACCCCTGTGGGTTAAAAAAAAAAAAAGGATACCATGGTACTTTCTAGGCAATACTAATAAATATCCCTCCACAATAACAGTGGCTTCAGGTATTCCCAGTGGGTCATTTCTCACCCCAAATTGTCAAGGTTACAATATCATGGGCTCAGAAGCCTATGGATTTTTCCCCCATATTCCAGAAAGTATCATCATGCTTGGAAATCCAGAGTTATTGGATTTCTTTCAATCCATGCAATTGGGTAGCTCTAAGACCACATTCTTGCTTTATTTGTACCTTGCACCTATCACAGATTCCATTTTCTCTTTCTTGACTGGAAGTAATACTAGGTAGTTTACAAAGGTGGCACTGCATGTTCCTCATCTTGTTTTCTTTTGTTGACAGATAATTATCATAATAAGGTGAGCCTGTCTAAAGTCTATCCATGAGTTTGCCGTCTGTGACCTGCAAAACCAAGGAATCACTGGAAAAAGGTAACACATCCAAGTTCTAGAAATCACCATCTGACTGGGGCATTAGGGGGTCCAGAAGTGATGACTGGGCATCTACAGCATTAACATGCACAATTTTGAGCAAGAGCCACTGTTGAAAAGATTCATCCCTCTGAAAGAACAGTGAAGAGCTTCCCTACCAATCTGGGTTTAGGGCTGCTTGGGTGCCTTGAAAAGTCATCATATTACTAACCAGTTTAAGGACTCCTTGTTGATTCAAGCATTCTTCATACTAAAGATTTGAAATTTTCAAGGAGAAATGAATAAGAAAAAAAAAGACATGTGTCATGACTGTTAACTATTTGCCACATGCCAGGCACTCTGCTAAGTATTTTGCAAATATTATGCCATTTAATGCTTACTACGAACCTAAGAAGTAAGGTGGCATTCAAAATACTCTACAACAATTACAACACTGGCACTGACCAACAATATAATGGACACTTAACCCACCCAAAACCCCTCTAGTCGTTCTGCCAGTATATAACTGGCTGAATATTAATTACATTTTGCAGGTGAGAAAACTGAGGCTCAGAGAGACTGAGTAACCTGCCCACAATATATAACCAGAAAATGGACGAGTCAGGATTTGAATACAGATCTGCCTGATTCCAAAGCTTGAGATTCTTTTCTGTTTACCATATCACACTTCCTCGTGTTAGAGTGACCAGTTCCTTAGAAAGAGGCCTTTGTCACCATTAAGATGCTAGATGAAAAGTTATCCATGAAGAAACCATGCTGTACACTCACAACCTCTCCTATGTGAGCACTGTGTTTTTTATCCTTTGTATAACACCTCCCTGGTAAGCATCTTCAAGCTCTCCCCATTGTCTACAGACTCTAAACTCCCTAGCTCTGGCCTCATAACTTCATAATCCACTGTAAACTCCACCAGCCCTGTGGATCTCACACGCCAATCACCCTAGGTATCTGACCATTCTCCAAGTATACTTGCATTTTTCCTCGTCTTTTACTTAGGTAAAGCCTTTGCTCATGCTTTACCTAAGTCAGAAATGCCCTCTAGCCGTGAGTCCCAGTTGAAATCCAGTATCTCTTTTAATGGCCAATTAATAGTTGCCTCCTATACCAGGCAGTTAACCTGCCTGCCCCCATCAGTATCTCTGCGAGGGGCCCCTCCCTTCTGCACACTCATGCCCATCAGCAATGGCTGGCCCAGGGCCAGCCCGTCCATCAGTTGGTTGGCAACCATTCAGGTTCCTTCCTAAAGACAGAGAGAGGGGTCAAATGCTGCTAAATGCAAGACCCACAAGGTTCTGTCAGACTAGGGCTGGCAACACTGTAAGGCCAAGTGAGAGTAGGAGAAGCCAGTAGACAGAGAGAGAGGACAAAGAAGAGCAGGGATAAGAAGGATCAGAGACAGCTTCTGCCAATTTATTGGCCCCATTTCCCATGATTCCTGGGTGTGTTTTCATTTTATGTGATCTTCATAGTCTTTCAACATCCCTTTCCTTACTTACTTTTTACTACTTACAAGCTAACTGAGTTAGCTTGAGTAGGTCTGTTCTGGAAATCCAAGAGCTTTGCCTGCTATCTCTGCTTACTGTTCAAAATTTAATATCTTCCTGCTTGGCATTCCACTCACCCTTTTTATTTATACTTGATTTTGGAACTTTTATCTCACCTTCAATTCATGTTAATTATGCATACCTCTGTCTCCCCACTTCCTTCAGACGAAGTCCATTCAATAGCTCTCTCTCCCTCGGCACCTGTAGAACCTGACAAGCACTAGATTCTTAACAAATGTTTATTGGGTTGGGTAATGCTTAGTGATGTCAATAACCATGCTGCATTAAACTGGTCTTGTGAAACTATATTACTGACATATCACAAAAGGTTTTACCATCGCTAGCACCCGCACACTTGGAGTATCTACTCCTACGAGGTGACAAAGAAGGAAAGGGATGCAGTGACACTTAGCTGATCACCCCACATTTGTGTTCCCCTTCCACAGTGTAGAGATCTTGCTAGCAAATGGCTTCCCAGCCAGGATCCATATTTCCCAGTGGCCTTACATCTAGGTAGGGTTACCATACAGTTCTTTTCCACAGGACATGGACTATGGTGATGAAGCCTCTTCCAAACCAAAGGGGTCTTCAATAAATGCTTGTGAGGACCTTCAATTTAAATTTGTTTAATGAACACTGTTGCAGTTACTGGGATTATCTGTTACAGTAACTGCAACAGTGTTCATTAAACAAATAAAGAAGAGCACGGCCCCATTTTCTCTTGAGGTTGAAGTATTCAATGTCTCCTATTTTTTTTTTTTTGCTCTGTCTTATATTGATATTTATTCACTGATTGATCGATTGACAAGTTTTCTTCATCACCATTTTTTTTTAACTTTTAATGGCCCCTCTTTACATTTCTTTCTACATATTCTTGTATTATGTTTTCTTGATGTTTACTAGAACATCTTTAGGGGGAAAGTGGGGTAAAGAGTGCATGTGGAGCCAATAATTTTTCTGAACTTGATTCAAGTCCTGGGGGACTCCACTGGCATGTGAATAATTAAGATTACCTAACTCAAGGTGACCTGGAATACTAACAGCTTCTGGATGTCAACCTGATGGAAAGAAACCTTCATCTTATGGAATCTGTACCCTGCATCTTTGATTCATCAAGCAAAATGTGGATGTTGGCTTCTTTTTTTTTTTTTTTTTTTTTGGAGTCATTAACATGCTGATTTTGATTCAACCAAAGAAAGGCCTCACTGGAGGGTTTCATCATGAACTTCATATTCAGGGCAATCCTGCAATATATCATCAAAACCAATTTACAAAATTGTGGATTTAAGGCAGATGGTGCAGCCCTAATAAATAGTAATGCCCTTGTCGTGGTGAGATTCCTTTTGTGAAATTTAAACCTCTGAATGATGATTAAGGGTGCTGGAGAGAAGCATGCTTTGGATAAACCTCCGAGTTCATCCGATGCCTTACATACATTGGCATGTGTTTGGATCCCACAGATCATTAGGAACAGAGTGTGCTTTTGTTCAGGGACCTTATTTGGTTTGCATTTAAACCAGAATGAATGGCCCTTAGCTAATGAATCAAAAGAATCTTATTCATGGACATCCCACTGTATAATAAATATGCCTTGATATGACCTAAAGCCATGCTGTTAAGCACAGAGTTGGCTCAGTTTTTCAAATGTTCAAATTTTTTTCTGGTAACACTGGAGCATAGTAATAATAGTGAACATGTATTAGGCTATGGCTATGTAGACTTTGTGTTAAGTACTCTCCATTCATTACCTCTCTAATCCTAACGGTAACTGTATGAAGATGTCTTGTTATCAGTGATGCGTCAGAGTTGAAAAAAGGCGTACAGTAACTTGGGACTGTAGAAGGAAGGCCAGTAACTTGTCCAAGGTCATAGTATTAATCCAGGACCAGAACCATGGACTGGAACCAAGATATTCTAAATCTAGGGCTCCTTTTTTGAAAACCAACATTTTGTTAATACATAAATAGTACATGTGTGAGGTAAAAAAATTAAAAACACAAATAAGTACTCAAAAAATTAAAATATCACATGTCTACCGCTTAGAGATCACCACTGTAACACCTTTATAGCAAATACTTCCACATCCTATGATTTATTTATGTATTTATTTATATCAAAATGAGATTATACTATAACCTACTTATAAAACTTTTTTTTTCAGTCAACAAGAATTTCAGTATATTTTCTTCTTATCTAATTCTGAGACCAAATTCAAGTTTCCCAATGACCCAACAATGTTCTTTTCAGTTGAATTGCTTATATGAACATCTAATCCAGGACCAAATGCTGTGTCTGTTTGTTATGTATCTGAAGATTCTTTTTTTTTTTTTAATGACATCAATTTATTGAACAGGCTTGCCAGTTGTCCCATAGGATGTCGGGCAGAATGTCCCATATTCTGGATTTGCTTCATGGTGCCATTTATCTTGTTTCTTTATCCCTGTTAGTTGTAAATAAGAGATCATACATAGTAACAAGAGTTGGAATTCTAACCTGTAACCAATCAGGGATGTATCTTTGAATAAGATATTTAACTTGATTGAGCCCTGAAATATTCATTTTTCATTAAATATGTAATACAGATGAAAAAGCAAAAGAGCATCAAAAAAGTTGTTAACTTGGAGATTCCTGGAATGAAAAGGTTTCTAACTGAGCATATGTCTTGACATGTTCAAAATTTGGGGAGCCAATTCACTTTATCTTGTCTATCAAAGCATTATTCATAGGTGAGTACTCATTAAGAGGAGCTTGTGAAAAGAAAGAAAATTTTCAGGTGTGAAAGTTCTAATGCTTATATAATAGATGCTTTGTTGGAATGCCACAATTTAATATGAATCCCCAAAGCCTTTTAGAAGTTTGAGAATTAATAATAATAAATTGAGTTAAGTACCCAAATTATATTTTGAAAAGGTAGTCAAAGGTTTATAACCATCATTTTTATAAATATATGAGAAAAGACACCACCCAAATTCAAGCAAAATGTTGTCAGCAAAACCACCCAAGTGATTACACCTTCTCAACTGCTTTCCTGAACATGTGATTCCCCTAAAATGTTCATTGTATCATGTGGTAGATATGCCCCCGAGATAATTATGAACAGAGTAGTTCAATGTGTTCATTCATTAAAAAAAAAAAAGTATCAAGTATTTACAGTGTGCCAGCCATATGTTCAAAGCACTGGAGTTACAGAAATGAACAAAACTCACCAAATCTCTGCTCTCAGAAACTTTATATTTGAGGGCAAGGTTTGAGCAAGTATGTGAGGAAAATGATGATAATCAATACATATACATATATTCATTATATACATATATTCTTTCATGTAGTGATATGAACTATAAAGAAAACAAAATAAAGTAAAACAGGTAAAGACAGAGGTGGAAGGGGAAAGTGCTACTGTAGCAGCAGCGCTCAGGAGAGCCCTCCAAGATGAGGTAACATTTGAGCAGAGACGTGAAAGGTGAGTGAGTGAGTGAGTCATGTGACTGGAGGGAAACTCTTCCAGGCAGAGTGAACAGCAAATGCGCAGGCCCGGAGGTGGAACCATGCCTGTCCTATTTTAGCGATAGTGAAGGCAAAAATGGATATAGGTGAGCATGCAAGGGGCAGAGTAAAGAAAATGAGATCAGAGAAGTATCTGAGGGCCAAATTGTGGTGGTCTCAAATTTTTCTATAAATTCTATGATAAGGAAGGAGGACATTAATTCTTCTCCTTTTAAGTGTGGGGCCAGAGTTAGTGACTTAGTTCCAAACAAAAGAATGTGACTTCCAAGGCTAGGTCATAAAAAGGACAGCTTCTTCTATTCACTCTTCCCCCTGGATCACTGATTCTGGAGAAAACTAGATACCAGGCTGTGAAGACACTCAAGCAGTCTACAGAGAAGCCCAGGTAGGAAGAAACTGAGGGCTCCCACCAAGAACCAGCACTAACATGCCAGATGTGAGAGTGAACCTCCTCAGAAGTAGATCCTCCAACCTCATTGAAGTCTTCAGATGGCTGCTGCCCTAACAATGAAGAAACGAAGTACTGATACATGCTTTAATACAGATGAACCCTGAAAATATCATGCTAAGTGTAAAAAAAATCCAGGCACAAAAGACCACATATTGCATCCTTCTATCTATATGACACATCCAGAATAAGCTAATCTATAGAGACAGAAAGTAGATTAATGGTTGCCTAAGGCTAGGGGTGATGGTTGGGGGAAATAGGAGTAACTGCTAAGGATTTCTTTTTGAGGTGATAAAAATGCTCTAAGATTGATTGTGGCACTGATTGTACAAGTCCATAAATATACTAAAAACCATTGAATTGTATGTTTTCAATGGCTGAATTATAATGCCACGTGAATTCATTTCAACAGAGCTATCACTGATCAAAGAGAAAACATTGGGAAGAACAACACTTTCAAAGAGTTTGCTATAAAAGGGGGCACAGAAATGGGTCAGTAGCCTGAGAGACACATGGGGTCAAGGTGTGACTAGTTTCTAGGTGAAAGATACTACATATGTTTGTGTTTTAGTTAATGTTCCAATGGATGATGATGCAAGAGGGAGAGAGAGCACCCTTGCCGTCAGGCAGGAGGCGACGAGATCCATTGCAAGAAGTAGAGGAGTTGGCCTTAAGTCATAGCCCACCCTTGCAGTTCGGCTCATCCCTTGCAATGGGGCTGACAGAAAGTATGGTTACAGATGCAGAGGGGATGGCAGATTGGTGCTGTGGGTAGGAGGAAATGCTTTGTGAAAAGGGAAAGAATGAGTTAAAGTATAGAAGAGAAGGAGAAAATAAAACATAGTCATCTAGAAGAATGAGAGTTATAAAATGAATGGACTGCAGAAACGTACTATGACTGTCAGGTAGCAGTCAGAGCCCACCAAAGTCTGTGATCATAAATTTAAAGTGAGGCAACTCAGCATGGCTGAATATGTTTCTCTTTCAGGTGCTTAGGGGCATGCAAACAGTAAGCAAGATGGTTGGATTGCACAAGGGAATGATTGACAGGTACTGGGTGGGCTGGGGAATAGACCGTAGAAAGTTAGGTCGGTGCATTAGAGGTCCTGGAATGGTTAAAGAATTGTCAAAAGGAGGATGCTAGAGGTAGGGAGAGAGGAAGGAAGGATTTATAGATTGTGATCAGAGAGAGAAATGCTTGAAAATGAGATCAGGAAGGAAGAGCAGTTTTTGATAATGATCATATAGGTAGCTAAGGAGCCGTGGAGGAACCAAGATGCCAGGTTATTAGAGTGATCGTTTATGTCAATGTGGAATCACCAGGTGGCGATGGAAAGAGACAAAGAGCCAGGTACTAAATTCTTCATAGGATGAAGAAGAGTGATCTAAAGTCTGTAGCTATCTGAGCAGGAGGATTAGCGCCTGCTTTAAAGACACATTAAAGTTAGTGAGAAACTTCGTGAAGAATCATTTTAGGAATTTTAGAAAGAAGGATTAGTCTGCAAATGGCAAGGAGGAGCAAAGAGGAAACTTTGTCCACCTCCAGGTCTTGAGGGAGAAAAGATGTTCAAGGAACACAAAGACCTCAAGGACAGCAGGTTTCAATTAGAGGAATGTTTTCCAACTTATTTTTTATTATTTTCCCCTTAGGAAGGGTTGTTAGGTGTTTTGCCTGATTGTCTCTCATGAAATTTTAATACCACAGACCTATGCTTTGTATATAAAGTGTATGAATTTTTCACCTCCCCAAAAACTAATTTTTACCTTCATTGACAATTCATGAATTAGAGCAAGAAGGTGAAGGGAATAGTCATAGAAGAGGTTGAAAATAAATAAAATCCATAACAGGAAATACACAGATACCAAGTGCATTCATATATATCACTAAATTCCTTACATAACCTATATTCAATTAGTTAACCAAAAAACTGGAAAATAATAGGTGGAAGTAAAAAATGGAATCATCATGAAATCCATGATGGAGGAGATTATGATACAATAGATACTATCTTCATAAATCTCAATATTTTTGCATCCCAGGAACAATGGTCAATAACTTTAAAATGCTTTAATTCACAAGAAGAAAATGCTAGTCATTTAATATTCATCTATATTTGAAAAACAGACCAGAGATAGTTCTATGCTTTAACCAAAATAAGTTATCCATATCCTTACTATTAATATTATCTTCAGGAAACTTATAGTGCCCAGACGCCCAACATGTCTGGGCTATGTGAATCAACCATGTAGCAAGCTTTGTTGTTGTGAATACATCTGTTTATATCCTATGAAAAAGTGGGTGATTTTGTTTTAAAGGAAAAACACACAAGTAGTTGAAATGTTGCTATAATGTAGTTACGAAACAAGAGAAGGGGAGGGACAGTTTAGAATCAATGCACCAAAGAGGGGAAAGAACTACAAAGGAAATCCTATGGGAGTCGTGGCTGACATAGCAGCTGGAGCTCTTAAAATCACTTGACCAGGTTACTGGAAATATCCCCACCTCAGTAGTCTCTCCAGACCACCTTTGAGGTGGCTACAAAGCTCACCAGCACTCCTCTTAGCACAAAGTGAAGAATGGGTTAACTCTTACAGTCCTCTTGAAGCAAAAGATAGAGTAGGGCAGTAAGTTTCAAACATAGGTCTTAAACTATGACTGTGTCATGCAATCCACTTAGTGGATCACAACCAGGATTTTAAAAAAACAGAATGGGGCCAGGCGCGGTGGCTCATGCCTGTAATCCTAGCGCTCTGGGAGGCGGAGGTGGGCGGATTGCTCTAGGTCAGGAGTTCAAAACCAGCCTGAGCAAAAGCGAGACCCCGTCTCTACTAAAAATAGAAAGAAATTAATTGGCCAACTAAAAATATATAGAAAAAATTAGCCGGGCATGGTGGCGCATGCCTGTAGTCCCAGCTACTTGGGAGGCTGAGGCAGCAGGATTGCTTGAGCCCAGGAGTTTGAGGTTTCTGTGAGCTAGGCTGACGCCACGGCACTCACTCTAGCCTGGGCAACAAAGTGAGACTCTGTCTCAAAAAAAGAAAAAGAAAAAACAGAATGGAATGAGACAGAACAGAATAGAATAGAAATATACAGAACATATCACACATGGTAAAAATAAGACTGTTCCATGAAACTTCTGGATCAGTTATATGAACCCATCCATATACATACGAACACATGAAGGTATGTGGCTCTTGTGTCATGATGTGGAATGTATGTTTTTAGTTTGTGTCACAGTCAAAAAGTTTCAAGACATCAGCAAGATGGCTGACTACAAGACCCTACCTTTCATTTCTTCCACACAGACAGCCGAAACAATGAATAAACAGCTACATTATGATGAAAATAACTGAAGGAGAATCTGGAGTGCAGCAAATGAGTAAAAGAAACCCTGGCGAGTGAAAAAAAACTCAGAATAACCACATAGATAATGAAAGAAAACAACAGGACCCCACCACCCCATCCCCCAGCCAGGATCTACCGGGAACCAGGAAGAACATCTCCTTACAGCAAAACAGCAGCCAAGAGGATCCCAGCAGCGCCCATCAACACCATGGACACTTACAGTCAACACAGTGAGGGTCCCCTGCAGTCCTCACAGGCACAAGCCCAGCTGAGGGGGCTGCCTAGGGTCCAACAGCTGTGCTCCCCTAAGAGAAGGAGCTGACACTGTGCCCCATCCCATGTGGCCTGCACAGCTACTCTGCTGCACCATCTTGGAACCGGAACTAATGCTGAAGTGTGTGTTGCTTTGGGGGCAAGTAGCCACAGCACCCTTTATCCCTGAGGCTAAACCACCAGACAGCCACCTCTGCCCAGTGACCTAACTGTTATACCCTTCCCTGTGGGGCCAAGCAGCAGAGGGACTGCTCCACCCAGCCCGGCCCCACCTCCTGGGGCTGGAGCTGAAGCTGTGTACTCCCAGTGCTTTGGCAGAACAGCGCCACCTATCTCTCTCGGCTGTGGCTGTGCTCGGCCCCCAAGGGCTTGAGCTGAAGCTGCACACTGTCTCCTGAGGAAACCGTGCCTTGGCAGAGCCCTGCATCTCAGGAAAACAGTGCCTGGGGTGCCTAGAACAGTCACATCCCATGGGCCTGAGCTAAAGTATCACATTGACCCCTGAGGAATCAGTGCGTTGGCCAAACTGAGCAGCTTCATATCCCAGGGCTGAGCTGACATAGTACCCTGTGTCTCAGGGAAACAAAACAGTGGCTAAGCTGGGACACCTTGCCCTACAGATCAAACAACATGAGTGGCCTACTTCCCTGTAGCTGAACTAGCACCCTAAAATCTGAGCTGCTGAGATACCCCTCTCATCAGGGAATGGAGTCATGGCTCTGCTGCTCATGATCCCCCAGGGCACAAATGACAGCAATGCTTGGCCATTCTCAGGTATTTGCTGCCACTGCACCAGGCCTCACAGAGTCTGGGATACTGCTTGCTGAGCCCCACCATCCCAGAGTCTAGAGTCACCACCACCTGGTTTCTCATCCCAAGGGACCTGAGTTGCCACTGAGCCCTACTGGCTCAGGCTCCCAAATTATGACCATATCCTGTGCCCTGTGCCCCAAACCCAAGTACCCTTCCTGCCCCAGAGTCAAACTAGGACTGTGCCCTACACTCCAGAGGTAGAAATGTAGGTATCACAAAACCCTTGGGACCTGAATTACTAGGGGGTACCTCAGAGCTGGCACTGTGGGCAACATATATCCAACCATGCCACAAAGGGCAAAGCTGCACCAAAAACCTGGATCCCAAGACCCAGGTACCACAAGAGTTTTGCAAGAGCATAAGCCTAGAACCCTGGCCCCATGGACACTCTGAGAACCTGCACTTTGAATCCAGTGCCACTACAGCTACTTGTAGGCCATGTCAGAGTTGACATCAAGAGGGATTTCCTTGATTAAGTCTCCCTATTTTTGGGAAAATGAGAATAGAAGGATCCCAAAAGCCCTTACCACTGAGGACATTAACCACCTACACCACTGCCATCATTATTGCAAACTTCTATGGCCTAGGCCACTGAGTCACCCACAGTTATTGCTGACATTTAACACAGCCACAGATGCAACATGGAAAGTATATGAATATACCTAAAAACAGAGTCACCACACCCTTCCCAAATGGCACATTAAGACCTAACTGTGGGTGAAAATCTTTCCTGAAAAATCCACTCTAGAAAATTTGAAAGAGGCAACTGATGCACAGACATCAATTGAAGAACATAAGAAACATGAAAAGCTAAGAAATATGACACCATCAAAAAAAAATCGTAACTCTCTGATAACAGACTCAATGAAAAGGAAATTAATGAATTACTAAAAAAGGAATTCCAAATATTGATCTTAAGAAATTCAATGAAATACAAAACAGTGCAGATAGATAATTCAACTAAATCAGGAAAACAATTCACAATATGAATGAGAAATACAACAAAGAGAACAGTATCATAAAAAGAACCAAACAAATCCTACAGCTGAAGAATTCAATGAATGAAATAAAAAATACAATAAAGAGCTTCAACAGCAGACTTTATCAAGCAGAAGAAAGAATCTCTGAACTTAAAAACAGGTTGTTTGAAATTACTCAGAGAGGAGAAAAAAGAAATAAGAATGAAAAAGAGTAAAGAAAGCCTACAAGACTTATGGGACACTGTTAAGCAAACACAAATTCCCATTATGGGAGTTTCAGAAAAAGAAGAGATGAAAAAAGGCATGGAAAACCTATTTTGGCTGAGTGCAGTGGCTCACAGTGATGTGATTCCAGCACATCACAAACAGCCACATCGGAAATTCCATATCAGAGGGCTTTGAGGGGATAATTGAGTGAAAAGGAGATTTAGGGGATTTCGTATGAAGCTGTATTTGGTTAGAAAACCCACTTTTTTTTGCTTAGATTGTATGTAATATATCAATTAATATGCAAGTTTTCTAAAAATGCTTAGTTGTACTTTTTTAATATTTTTTTTTATTTCAGAATATTATGGGGTACAAAATTTTGGTTATATAAATTGCTTTTGTACTATTTGAGTCAAAAGTGTGCCCATCCTTCAGATAGTGTGCATTGTACCTGTTAGGCATGAATTTACCCATTCCCTCCCCCCTCACCTGATTGATTTTCAATGAATGTTATTTCCATATGTGCACATAAGTATTGATCAATTAGTTTTAATTTAATGGTGAGTACATGTGGTGTGTGTTTTTCCATTCCTGTGATACTGCACTTAGAAGAACAATCTACGTTTCCATCCAGGATAATACAAGAGATATTAGATATTTTTTATTGGCTGAGTAGTACTCTATGGTATATATATACATATATATACCACATTTTATTAATCCACTCATGTATTGATGGGCACTTGGGTTGTTTCCACATCATTGTAATTGTGAATTGTGCTGCTATAAACATTCAAGTGTAGGTGTCTTTTTTATAGAATGTCTTTTTTTCCTCTGGGTAAATACCCGGTAGTGGGATAGCTAGATCAAAAGGTAGGTCTACTTTTAGTTCTTTGAGATATCTCCATACTACTTTCCATAAAGGTTGCACTAGTTTGCAGTCCCACCAGCAGTGTATGAGTGTTCCTCACTCTCTGTATCCGCGGGTTGAACTTCTTATATGAGATTCTGTATTATGATGCATTTGCATTTCACTTTTATTATTCTTATTTTTCAGGGTAGCTTTGGGGAAGCTGATAGATATTGTTGGAAGCCAAAGTTCTCTCCTCATCGCACTGTCATCACTTAAATGCATTTCTCGAATATGAAACACTTGACTCTTAAAAAAAAAAAAGTGCTTAATTACATAGGAAAGAAAAAGGAAAGGCTTTTACTCACTAAAAATTCTCTGATTGAGGTCCTCCACACCACATGTGCTAGAAGAGTCTGGTCAGAACAACAGGGGATCCAAGCTCTGAAACAGCAAATGCAGGTAAAAATTAACTCCTCAGCAAGCCATTTCTAATCCTTTTTCTAAAACTGAGATATTCACATACCTTAAAATTCGCCATTTTAAAGTGTATGATTCAGTGGTTTTAGTACATTCACGAGACTGTGTGGCCATCACCAGTATCCAATTCCAGAACATCACTCCAACAACAAACCCTATACCCATCAGCAGCCATTCCCCATCCCATTAATCTATTATACTCTCTGTCTTTATGAATCTGATCACTCTGGACATTCCATGTAAGTGAAGTGATAGAATATGTGACTCTCTCTGTCTGGCTTCTTTCTTTACCACATGTTTTCACAGTTTATCCATACTACAGTATATATCAGTACTTCATTTTTTATGGCTGAATAATATTCCATTGCATGGTTCTATTGCATTTGGTTTACCCACTTATGTATTCATCAGTGGGTGGACACTTCAATTGTTCCTACTTTTCACTATTATGAATGCTGCCACTACAACTGATCATTTTTGAAAGGAAGTTTCTGGAGCCCTGGAATTTGTAACAAGAACTTAATTCTCTTGACAGTACCTTTCCAACATCACCATTTACACTAGCCCCTCTTTCAGTTTTAACTCATCTCTTCTTCTTGACTTCATCTTCTTCAACTTTACGACCATGTGGGGCAAGAAATGAAGGCCTTGGAGCAGAGCTTCCTTCCACAAAACTTGCAAAGAAAAGTGGTGATAGAGGAAGAGCAACTGGGAGTTAGAAAGAAGTAGCGACAGGGAACCTGTGCAGCGAGCCTGAGGCACCTGGGTGGGGGAAATGCCCCTGCTAAGGGCCGGTATCAACAATCCCAGACCGTGGTTCTTGGCCAGTGTGCTCTTCCCCCATGGCCTCCGGAGCCTGTGCTTTACTGAGTGGAAGAACAGGCACAAACACAATGTAGCCAAGTCCTTTGGCTCCAAGCAGTCAGGCCCAAGAGGAAGGTGATAATAAAGGCACCTCCAGGAAACGTTTCCAGCCCTGGGAGAGTCCAACCACATTTTACCCACCCTGGTTTCTTTGTCTACTTGTCATGTCACCCTCCCAACTCCCACCCAGCAGGTTTGATTCTAGATTCATCCACATACTTAGACATTCCAGTCTGCACTTGGACATCTCCCTCCTAGGAACTCTCTAAGCCCCGCCTGCCCCTATCCTGCTGTTGCCTTCAGAAATGCCTCCCTACGCCTGGCTCCTGACCTCAGCCTGCCCCCGCCTTGGTTCACTGTTCCCAGCTTGGCTCTGACAATTCCTAGTGATCTCACCCCACTGCTGAGCCTAGATAGGACAGTTGTGTTCAAAAAGGTCACCAGTCAATGGGGTGTTTGGAACTCAAAGAATTTCCCCATAGAAAAAAATCATTATAAATAGTGGTATGGTTCCCAGGCCGATCTACAAAGGCCTATTTAGCCAACCATGGTGCTGGCACAGCTGTCCTTAGGTCCCCTAAGTGAGGTCAACCCAGGGGGAAAGAGGCAAGGGAGTGGAGAGTAGAGGCCCCTGGCAATTGAACAGTTCCCACGGAAACATGGAGGGGGAAATTCCAGGGGCAGAAGAGGCAAGGAAGATGCTGAGCAGTATCCCAGAGGTGATGCAACCAAGCAGAGGTGAAGGGGGTGGGGAGCTCAAGATGCAGAGCAGAAGACACCCCTGCCCGACCGACAGGCTCCCAAAGACTGTTAAGAGTCTGGGGTGAGGGGCCACCCTCTCGTCTTTCATAAGCAAAATGGCATTGCTGAAGGTCTCCCCTTGGCCACTGCATACCTGCCCTCTTCCTAACTCCATCCTGTCCTAGTTCCTATGAAGTGCCTGATTCTTCTCTGGCCCTTTGACCACTTACTTTCATCCTGCTTACTGGATGCCCCATAAATGGTTGGCTTTTTGCATGGTGACATTGACTTTCATTGGTTTGCTTGCATTTTGTTTGAGAGGTCATTTGTTTTGACTGCCCCACATCCACTCCGTTTCACACCCTTATTTGAGTAAGTGCACCATGAGTTCCTTCAGGGGAATCCTTCCCTCCCATTGCATATAGACTGGGGGCTTGTTGATCAAGGTGCCAGGCCCTCCGCTAGCCAAGGGCTCTATCCTCTCTTAGCTCATGCTTCAGCCTTTCCTTAATCTGCAAGTGCCTTGCTAGCCTTTCAGTGAATTGTGCTGTGCTTGAATCCACCAGATTTGTGACCAGTGATCTCTGATACACATAGGATATCAGAGTGTTCTCCACTTTCTAATACACTCCCTGAATACTTGCTGGTCACCTGGCTCCCGTTCCCTCCTGCACAGACCCCTGCAGTACCACATGCAATACCCTGCAGGTACCCCCAAATGGCTGCTGCTTAGGACTGGCTGTAACCCCTGTATTGCTCTTCCTTGCAATGTTCAGGCTGATATGAAAGCAAATGGCCCCAAGCTGGCCTTCTTACCCCTGTCATATCTTCCCCTTCAAACTAGACATCCCATTCTGTCGCCCTGACAGACCCCCTCTGGCACGAGACCTCAAGGCTTTGGGTAAATATTCCTTTCACTCCTCCCAGATAGTGAGAGGGACACGAATAGGCAAATGCTAACAGGAACAACAGTTCCATCCCCATGAATCAATTGGGAAATTTCCAAGTTAACAGTTTTTTCCAAGTTGAATCTCAGTAAAAATTTTTGGACTGGTGAGGGGAGAGGAGATTTGCATATCGACAAAACGGCAGATATGTTGGTGGGAAGATGTACACACTTACACCCATTCCCCTTTTGTCGTCGTTTTACAATCTGAAGACTAAAAGCACCTGTGCACAGTGAGCCAGTCGCCACCCCAAGCTACCTGATCCAGGAAAGCAGAAATAGCTCAGAGCCCCGGGTCCGTCAGCGTCCGGTATATTAAAACTGTCCCGGAAAAGCCTTTGTGCATCAGACTGTAAGGAAAAGCCCGCATCAAAGGCGGGAGGAGGGATGACTGCAGAGCACAAAAGGGTTTTCTAGCCCTCATTTCTGTCCTTCTGTGCAATGGAAAATAGCGGAAATGTTGGCAGCAAGACAAAACAAATGGTATTTCAGACTTTCGAAAAGTATTATATTACATGCAGTTCTTAATGATATCGAGTATTAATCTAAAACTAACACCCAAGGCCAGCTCCGCAGTGTGTTTTATGATGATTAAGTGATACGACATTCTGGGTGTCTGGGAATAGACGCTCTTGCAGGGGAAGTGGCCCGGAGAGCTAGCTGAGAAGCTGGGTTTTCTTTGTTTCGACACTCTCCTCTCTAACTTCCTATCACTCCCTTCTTTAAAAAAGAAGAAGAAGAAGAAACTACCCGTAGTAGCTGCTCTAGTTTCTGCCCTTAGAAATCTGCTCTATTTATTAACTCCTCCTCCGGTGAAGAAATTCCACTGAAATTCCTTCAGGGCCTGGCTGCCTTTCAGCTTCTCTCTGCACATTCCTGCCTCTATGTATGTCACCATCTTAAATAGCTGAGCCTTCTGTGCTTTAATAAGGTCTCTCTATAATCTTTTTTTTTTTTTCAAGAACACAGACCTAGTTTTGCTAAGTTTCTGAATATCTCAGATTGTGAAGCCTCCATCATACTAATTAATTTCTGTTCTACCTCATCTATGTCCTCACTGGTCGGCTAATAACATAAGGACCAGAGCTGACCTCATTACAGTAACTTCTCGAATTTCTTACATTGTAATCGAAATGATTCCTCCAGGCTGGTATTTGAATTACATCCCCTCCTTCCTACCACCTCCCCAAACCCCGAGGCACTATGTTAAAGATTTAGATGAACATTTTTCATAGACTCCAGTTTTCTGGGTCCCAAATTTTTGGTACTGAATTTTTTAAAAGGCATATTCTTTTTCTCTGATAAGTTCATGACATGCCCAAGCATTGCACTATCTGTATAAAAGAAAACTAAACATTGCAAGGCATGGTTCTGAATCATCACCAGCCAGAATTTACCAAAAAAAGAAAAAGAAAGAAAGAAAACTGTAAGCATCCAATTTTCTTTCTTATGACAGGGCCCTTGCTTGAAAAGAAGCTTCCAGAAGCTTTCAAAAAGAGTATTCCCCCATAAGCAGTCAGCAGACATTTCATCTTGATTTTACCCAGATGGAGGCTTTTGAGTTGTGGCCTTCAGAGACAACCCCAGAACTCTCTCCATGAATTCAGATTAGTGAAGTATTTTGTAGATGCATCTTCCTCCTTCTCCATCCCCACCCCACTCCCCTTCTAAAATTACCTCCAGACCTTCCTTGTAGTAAAAACCAGTATTGGAGCTCAAAATGTAATGGCTCTTTTTGCTGGTCCCTGAACAGGATGAAAAGTACCTCTGTCCAAGTATTGGGACCCCCTCAGTTTCCTACTCCAGTGGCCTTCTGACATTTCCCATCAAGCCCAGGTACACAACGGTGCCCTGTATCCACAGTCCACGTCGCCATGTTAAATAGTAATGGATCCAGTGCCTACTTGGGGCTCGCCATGGCTCTCCTCTGGTTCCTTCTTGCACTAGCTCTCTTAGCTTTCTCCATCTCGGGAGAAAGATCTTCCTGTCCCTGTACACAGAACTCCCACTAACAGTGTCTTTTAACTTGTAGGTTTGCATAGTCACAATGCCCTACATGGTTTGGACGGCACTACGATTTTCTTACCGAATTGTGTTTCACAGCTCACATTCAGCCTAAACGATGCCCGTAAATCATGTCACACAAATGAAAACCCAATGTTAAGAAGAGAATTATTTAGACACTTCATGGGAGACTAAGTTGCCTTTGAAGATCTCCCTACTACATTAGCCTGTGGCAGCTAGGAATTTTGTCGCACGGCATGATTTTTCAACCCCATTGAAATGCAGCCCACTTTCCATTGAGGAGCCCCTGTTCTCACCCCTGTGAAGCTGGAGTCAGAGCTTCACTACTTCCCCTGGAGCTCCGGGGAGGCTCACAGGGCCTGGGCCAGCCACGGGGCACTGCCTCCCC